GACACGGGAGCAGGGGCACACTGGGGGACACACACAGGAGGGGTTGTGTCCCCATCCTGGGACAGCCACGGGCCTCACACCTTGATTTCCCACTGATATATTATTATTACCATTATTAATTATTATTAATAACAATTCATCTTCTGTAAAAGCTCTAAAAATGGATAGAAATAAAAAATAAGGGACGGGGTTGGGGGGGACACCCACACGCTGCCGGCTCCTGGCCAGCGGGCACGGCGGGGGGGCTGTGCCACCCCCTCTCCCCAGCGAGGGGTCCCCACCTCCCCCTGTCCCCCACCCTGCTGTGACAACGGGGGGGCGGCTCCCGAAAATCCAGGGGGGCTGGACACGCCGGCGGGGCTGGATAAGGCCACGGATGTCGGGCAGGACGGGGCTCTCCGGGCCCCCCTCGGCGCCCGGGGGTGCCCCCGGTCCGTGTGGGGGGCACGGGGCTCCCCTGGGTGCTGGGTGGGTGGGTGGGTGCTGGGTGCCAGCCTAGGCCCTGCCCTCGGAGGGGTTGTACTCGGTCTCCCCGGCCGACACCTGGGAGATGCGCCGCGTGGAACGCCAGAGCCGCCGGTGGAACTGCCCCGGCCGCACCTGGGGACGCGGGAGCGCCTTTCGCATCCCAAAGCCTTCATCCGGCCCCTCCCCTTCTCCATCCCACCCCAAGTCCTCATCCCCTCCTCCATCCCACCCCAAGGTCCTCATCCTCTTCTCCATCCCGTCCCAAGGTCCTCATCCCCTTCTCCATCCCACCCCAAGGTCCTCTTCCCCTTCTCCATCCTCATCCTCATCCCCTTCTCCATCCCACCCCAAGGTCCTCTTCCCCTTCTCCATCCTCATCCTCATCCCCTTCTCCATCCCACCCCAAGGTCCTCATCCCCTTCTCCATCCCGCCCCAAGGTCCTCATCCTCTTCTCCATCCCCATCCTAAGGTACTCAACCCCTTCTCCATCCCCATCCCGCCCCAAGGTCCTCACCCCCTTCTCCATCCCGCCCCAAGGTCCTCACCCCCTTCTCCATCCCGCCCCAAGGTCCTCATCCCCTTCTCCATCCCGCCCCAAGGTCCTCATCTCCTTCTCCATCACCATCCCACCCCAAGGTCCTCACCCCCTTCTCCATCCCGTCCCAAGGTCCTCACCCCCTTCTCCATCACCATCCCATCCCAAGGTCCTCACCCCCTTCTCCATCCCCATCCCAAGGTCCTCATCCCCTTCTCCATCCCCATCCCAAGATACTCACCCCCTTCTCCATCCCCATCTTGTTCCAAGGTCCTCATCCCCTTCTCCATCCCATCCCAAGATATTCACCCCCTTCTCCATCCCCATCCTCACCCCCTTCTCCATCCCATACCAATGTCCTCATCCCCATCCTCATCCCCTTCTCCATTGCCATCCTCACCACCTTCTCTATCCCCATCCCCTTCCAAGGTCCTCACCTCCTTCTCCATCCCCATCCTGTTCCAAGATCCTCATCCCCTTCTCCATCCCCATCCCATCCCAAGGTCCTCCTCCCCTTCTCCATCCCCATCCCCTTCTAAGGTCCTCATCCCCTTCTCCATCACCATCCCCTTCCGAGGTCCTCATCCCCTTCTCCATCCTCATCCCAAGATCCTCATCCCCTTCTCTATCCCTATCCCAAGTCCTCATCCCATTCTCCATCCCCATCCTCATCCCCTTCTCCATCCCCATCCCATCCCAAGGTACTCATCCCCTTCACCACCCCCTTCCAAGGTCCTCATCCCCTTCTCCATCACCATCCTCATCCCCATCCCAAGGTCCTCATCCCTTTCTCCATCCCCAAATCCTCATTTCCTTTTCCATCCCTATCCCAAGTCCTCATCCCCTTCTCCATCCCTACCTCCTCTGCGTTTCTCATCCCATTATTCCTCCTCATTCCTTCCCAGATCTGCTTCTCCATCCCATCCTCTTCTCCTTCCCCATTTCCATCCACGTCTTCTTCAAGATCCTCATCCTTTTCTCCATCCTCATCCTCTCCACCATCCCCATCCCCTTCCGGACTCTCATCCTCCTCTCCACCCCAATCCCCTTCCCAAAAATCCGCTATCCAACCTCGTCTTCATCCCCTTCTCTACCACCATCCCCTTCCAGACCCTCATCCTCCTCCATCCCCACCCCAGCCCGGTCCCCCTCAGCTCTGGCGAGGACACCCCGATGTCCCCACCCCGGGAACACCCAGGGGACACCGAGCCACGTCCCCCTCGCACCCGGCCTGGCGGGGTCCCGCTCACCTCCGCGGGCTGCCCGGCGCCCACCACGATGAGCTTTCCATCCTCCAGCCCCACCAGGATGTGGCTCTTCTCCTTGGTGACGGACACGCTGCGCACGGGCACCCGCATGGGCACGGGGGGCACGGCCGCCCTGAGGCTGGGGACACGAGCCACGCGTGGGACACCGAGGAGTGGGACACCATGGAATGGGACACCATGGAATGGGAGACCACGGAACGGGACACCGAGGAGTGGGACACCACGGAGTGGGACACCATGGAACGGGACACCACGGAACGGGACACCGAGGAATGGGACACCATGGAACGGGACACCACAGAGTGGGACACCACGGAATGGGACACCGAGGAGTGGGACACCATGGAACGGGACACCATGGAGTGGGACACCGAGGAGTGGGACACCACGGAATGGGACACCATGGAGTGGGACACCATGGAATGGGACACCAAGGAATGGGACACCATGGAGTGGGACACCACGGAACGGGACACCATGGAACAGGACACCACAGAGTGGGACACCACGGAGTGGGACTCCAAGGAATGGGGACACCAAGGAATGGGACACCAAGGAACGGAGCACCATGGCAGGGGACATAATGGAATGGGACACCATGGAATGGGACACCATGGAATGGGACACCACGGAACGGGACACCACGGAACGGGACACCACGGAACGGGACACCACAGCATCACAGCATGGGACACCATCGCATGGGACACCCTGAGGGCGTGCCAGGGACAGGACAGGGCGCAGCCATCCCTCACCTCTGGAGCTCGCGGATCTCCAGCCCGCACTCCGAGGTCCCCAGCACCACGAAGTCCTCGGTCAGGCACATGGCTGTCACCTCCCGGTCCAGCGGGACGGAGGACAGGAGCTTCCCGTTCACCGAGTACAGGTGCAGCGCGAACCTCTCCTGCGAGGAGCACAGCGGCAGCATGGCGGCGGCGGTGGCCAGGAGGGGACCGTGGGGACACCTGGACCTACCTTGGAGCAGGAGGGTTGCCCCACGGCGGTTTGGGCCACCACCTGCCCCTCGGGCCCCACGGCCAGGTGGGACAGGACGGCGGGGGGACAGCTCTCGCCGGGCGGCCGCAGGGAGCGGATGAAGAGCCCCCGGCGCACGGTGTGGGTGATGATGGTGCCGTCCTGGGGGAGGAAGGGGACGCAGGGTGACGCTGGTGGTGGCACTGCCCATCCCACGCCCACCCCGCGGCCCCACCGGCTCACCTTGGAGCCGGACACGGCCATGTCCAGCTCGGTGCTGATGGCCACACACGTCACCTCGGCGTCGTGGCCGTACAGCACCTGGACGGGTTTGGGAGCCAAGCCGCTGGAAAAGCCACCCTAGCGTTGGGGACATGGGGACATCAGTGACCTGCTGGCAGTGCCCACACCATGAGCTCCCCCTCATCCTCGAGCCCTCACCTGCTGTAGGACCTGCCACACCATGCAGGTGGTGTCCCGTGAGCCAGAAATGAGGTAGATGCCGCAGAGGTCGAGTGACAGGCAGGTGACAACATCTGTGACAGCCAGAGGGACACCGTGAGGTGCCGGTCCCCTCCCACCATACTTGGCCCCCCATCCCATGGGATGGCACCATAATGTGTTTTTGGATGTAGAATTGCTGCCAATCCCATTCCGAGATGTATTTAGGCGTGTGGATGCTGCTGCTCCTCACCCCACTCCAGCTCTGAGGTTGGAACCTGGACTGTCCCCAGGAGATGGAAACACCGGGAGATGCCCTTCATGGTGTCACCCCTCTCCTGCTGTGGCCCTACAACCCCCTCAGGGCATCATCAGATCATCATCATCACCACCACCACGGGAGGAGGACGTACCTATGTGCCGGGTGATGTGCCCCACGACCTTGCCTTTGGCCAGCGAGGTGACACGGAGGCTGTTGTCCCAGTGTCCCCCGCTGAAGAGCAGCTTCCCGTCGGGGGACACGGCCAGCGTGCGCGAGCTCAGGTCGGCCCCGGGGGCGAAGGGGCCCTGCAGGAAGCGCTGGGTCCTGCCAGGAGAACGTGGGATGGTGGATTTGGTGGCACCTCCAGGGACCATCCCTGGGGACCCTGTGCCCCGGTGACTCACTTGGCGTTGGTGACAGTGGGGTCTTTGGTGAAGCTGAAGTAGTTGGAGATGTTCTTGTCGTAGGGCAGCCAGTTATGGGTCCCCAACAAGCCGTTGGCACTCACGGTGACCTGGGCAGAGAGGGAGGGCAGGTGACACCCCTCTCACTGTTGGGATCCTCCATGGTTTGGTCCTGGACCCACCCCCAGACCAGCAAAACGTCCCCGTGCCTCAGTTTCCCCACACTCACCAGGATGTCAGATCCCTGAGTGATGAAGGAATGGGCTTGGTTCTTGGGGACCACGGCCTGCACCAGGGCCACCCCATCGCTGATGCCCTGTGGGGACACGGCAGCTGCTGGGCACCCTCCTGGCCACCCCAGCCCTGCCAGCGCTGCCCAGGGACCCCCGGGGGTGTCCTCACCTCCACAAAGAAGGACTTGAGCTGGCCCAGGTTCTCGAAGACGTTGGGGGAGCGGGTGTCGAGGTGGGCCAGCCTGCGGGCGGCGCTCTCTGCCGACAGCCGGGCGGGGTGCGGCTCCTGGCGGGGGCCAGGGCACCCGTCAGAAGTGGGGGGACCCCCCAAAAAGGGGCTGGTTTTGGGGGCTGGGGGTCTGGGCTACCTTGAGCAGCTGGCAGGGCGTCTGCCCGAAGTTGCTGATGATGCCCTCCAGGGCCTTGCGCTGCGTCTCGTCGGTGATGGCGTCCAGGTCCACGGCCCCTGCGGGTGGGGACGGTCACGGGGGGACACACCCCTGGCGGGCGTCCCCCTCGCTCTGCCCCGCAGCTCACCCTCGTAGGTGCAGTAGTAGAAGACGTTGAGGGCCTCCACGGCGGCCGGGCCGCGCTGCTTGTACCCAAAAATGAGGTCGATCCACTCGTGGAGGTGGGCGGAGACATATTCCGACTCCTGTCCGAGGATGGGGTGTCAGGGCGGGGTGGGAACGGCCCCGAACGCCCCCAGGGCCGAGCGGGCTCCCCATCTCACCAGGGCTTTGCGGTGCTGGCGGATGAAGTCCTCGCGGGAGCGCGCCCACCGCGGCAGCACCACGTCCCCCACCTTCTCGTTGGAGAGCTGCAGGCAGCCCAGGTCAAAACCTGCGGGCAGGACGAGGGTGATGAGGGACACAGAGCCACCCCTGTGCTCCCCTGTTGGTGACAACGGTGTCCCTCACCGTTCTGGTTCTCCAGGAACTCCGGGAAGTAGAAGAACTCCGGGATGAGCTCCTTGACGTCCACAGGGTTCTCCATGCGGGCTTGCCACGCCGCCGGTACCGAGTGGAACTGCCGGTCCGAGCAGTCGAACCTGGAGGCACAGGACACCTGGCTGGAGCCTGGTTGTCCCCACCATGTCCCCTCTGCAGGACCCACCCGCCGGGTGCCCACCTGCCACTCTGCAGCTGGATGTGGAGGGTGGTGAAGGGCTCGGTGCGGATCAGGTAGTGCATGACCCCGGCAGCGTTGGAGTAGTGAGTGCCGTAGTGGAACTTGTCCACCGTGCCCGTGGGGTCCTCAAAGCTCTCGTACCTGCAGGCCAGGTGGGATGGGGTCCACCAGGAGGTGGCCAGGTGCCCCCCTGCTTCCCTGCCCTCGGTTTGGGGGGTACTCACTTCTCCTTGACGTCGCGGGCGTGCCGCTCGTTGGCCACCCCGATGGGCTTGGACAGGTCCCGGAACACGGCGGGGTTGGTGAGGTCCAGGGTCTCGGAGACGTAATCCCGCAGGATCCAGGGGAACTGGGTGGGGGCGGGAGGTGGGTGAGGTGGGGTGGCACCAGGTCAGTGTGGGGACAGCGGGGGACACCGGGGCTCACCACGGGGTACTGGGACAGGTCGTTGTAGGTGCGCCCCGCGATGGTGTTCAGCTGCATGAGGTACTCGAAGTTGGAGATCTCCCGCAGGACCCATTTCTGGAGAGAAGGGAGAGGGTGGAGACGGGCGTGGGGGCAGAGGAGACAGGGCAGACACCCCCTGCCACATGGCAGTGCCCGTCCCTTGGCCACCCTTGGCTCCAAAGCTGTCCCCAGTCTCATGGCCATCACTGGTCCTGCAGCAGTTCCCAGAACTGTGGCCGTGTCCACCCCATGGTCATCCTTGGTTCTACAGTCACCCCTAGTCCAATGGCCACCTCCATCCCACAGCCATGCTCCATGGCCATCCCTGCACTCAGATCCTCTCATGTGTCATGGATGTCCTTTGTCCCATGATTGTCCTCACCCCATTGCCATCCCTGGTGCCATGGCCACTCCCA